GAACACTATCAGAATGGCCCAGATTTTGAGACTGCTTTAATTGCTCTTTCAACCTTGACTTAGATTCTTTTTAAGAAAGCCTTTTGTAGAACAGAACTGTAATATGTACTGATTTTTTTCCTTTCTACCTTTTCTTCAACTGTGATAAATAAAAGCTTATAAAAAGTAAATAATTCATTTTCAAGAAGCAAATGGATTTTTTCCTTAAACAAAAAATAAACCCTACTTATGGATTACTAACAAGTATTAACAACATTATTCCCACACATACAACATCGGTAAATTGTTTTAGGAGCCAATAAATAATGATGCCATATAGCCATTTAATAATATTTATTTATTTATTTATTTATGAGACTTATATACCGCTTTAAGTGCAAGCACTCTCTAAGCGGTGTACACCAGTAAGCAATGTGTATATATATATTTACATTGCTCCCAACAATCTGGGTCCTCATTTTACCTACCCCGGAAGGATGGAAGGCTGAGTCAACCTTGAGCTGGTGAGATTTGAACCGCTGACCTGCTGAACACAGTCAGCTAAAGTGGCCTGCAGTACTGCACTCTAACTGCTGCGCCACCTCGACTCATATAGGAAGGCCTATATATATAGGAAGGCCTCTCTCCTTCCCATCATAAACATCAAAGAGAAATAGGCAAACCTCATAGCATAGTCTTAAGTGCCATAAATCTTTGTCTCACATATATATCATTCATTTATATAAAGCAGCAGTTCTCAACCTGTGGGTCGCAACCCCATTTGGAGTCAAACGACCATTTCACGGGGGTCGCCAAACAACGCAGTCCACTATTTTTTTCCCCTTTTCCTTACCTGTGCTACTCCCTTTTATTCTATTGGCTTTTGAAAGCCAGTAGAATAGACTCTCTTAAATAGAGTCTAATTCTATTGGCTTTCAAAAGCCAATAGGAATTGTCCAGGATGTCTCTGCCCTGCTGAGCCCACCAAAAGCCCCAGTCTGCAAACGGTGCTGCAAGTTGTCTGCAGCGAAGGCAAGCTGTCTGGAAGCTTCCACCCCTTCCTGCTGAGCAACTACTAAAAATGTAAGTAAAAGAGGGCCAGGGGTGGGAGGTGGGAGGCTGGCGGGCTCAGGGAGGGTTGCTGGCGCGCATGGGGCCCGGCGGGTGCCTTACCTCCCTTGGGCTGGCCCAGCTGGTGGCCCAGCCAGTGGTCGCCCTGCGCCCTCACTGCCCCTTGCCAGCTACCCGCCTCAGCCAGCGCAGGGGGCGGCACCACGCATGCGCAGCGCTCCCGGGCAGGGAAAGTCCTCGACTTATGACCGGTTGGGGTCGCGGCATTAAAAAGGTTGAGAACCACTGATATAAAGCATTCAAACATATCTTTTACAAAAAAAAAACAATACAAAATATTCTGTCAGAACATTTCATACATTCTCTGTTCTTGTGGAACTAAATTAAAGATTTATTGCATCTTGGATAACTTTAGAATTAAATAGAAGCCTTTTTCTCGCTGATTTTTTTTATCAACTACAGAGAAACTGGCTATGAGGATGATTTTTTTTTTAAAAGGAAGCACATTGGTTTTGTGGTTAAAGAGCAGCCTACAAGTTTTGTGGATTCTAGGCCTCCCTTAAGTATGAAAGCCAGCTGAATGACTTTGGGGCGGTCACTCTTTCTTAGCCCAACCCAACTAATAGGGCTGTTGTTCTGGGGAAAATAGGAGAAAGGAAGATTAGCTATGTTTGCCACCTTGAGTAATATATTAAAACGGTGGGCTAAAAATCTAATGATAACAATAACATTTAAAATTCTGTAGCAAGTGACAAATGTAACAGTTGAGCACGTTTCCTTGTTCAGCCATTGAGCTAAACCACTAAAGTAGCAACAGCAATGGATTACTCTAACTTCAACACAACCCGCGAGCAATATGATTAACAGAAATAAATGCATTTTAGCTTATGACACTTCTGAACACTGTACACAGTGCACAGTGAATACTTTTTGAATTTGGAAAGTTCAATGGCCAAGCAACATAGTTTTACATTTGAGGTTCCATGACATTGCAATGCCTTTTGTCATGTACTTTTGCATTTAGTTCCCTGCTTCATAAAGAAAGCAAACCATATCCAGAATGCCCACAGACAATATTACAATCAAGTAAGAACTTCCCTATGGCAAACAGTGTTTTTGAAGAATCCGATTCATCCTACCAGGCATACAATAGATACTTATCTGACTCATCTTTAGCTAGCAGTGCTAGTTCAGGTCTGTGGGAGTAGGCATGCATTTGTACCTTTTATTTTATTGGCTATTGCTGGGATTCTCAAATTATGTGCGCTGCAAGTAACAAAATGGAAAATCTGAGACTTCCTCTCCATCAACAAATTCTGTGATTTAATTGGATCTGGGGCTAGACAAGAAATTAATATAACAACCACACTCAGATTTAAATTTCCAGTCAGGGGTTTGATTTTTGTAAAATTATACCTCAAATGTTCTTCCATCTTCCCTGCCTAGACAGTCCAATTCTGTATGCACATTACAGGAACACAGAGGTATATTCCTATATCTCCCTTCCTATAGGAGCAAGTCCTGGTAGCGTCTTTGGCCTAAATTGCAAACATTTACATACCCAATTCAACCCTCTCCTTGCCATAGGCTCTTGTACTATCCAGTGTCAAGTTAAAAATGGTCCCTCTTCAATCCCAGAGTGTTTGTGGCTGCTATTTTCATATGTGTGTTTTGTGTTTGGCAACATTTATCATTTGTAGAAATCTCAGCTCTACCCTGAAACTGTGTGAGAACATATTCTTTTATATGTTATCTTTTATAGGAATTTTGTACTACCTGCATACTAGACATTTTTAAAGTATTGTTATCTAACCAAGTGATCAGTGATATTGAGTGCATAAACCACTGCCTTCACTGTCAAAGAAGAGTATACTGTGCGTAACTCTCCTGCCCCCCTTGGGTTAAAGTTGGTTAGTATAGCAATTACAAGGTCATAAATTCAGCAATCAGTTGTCTTTATAAATACAGATTTAAGTTCAAATTCAAGAGAATAGATTATCTTCCAGCAGACAATGTTCACTGAACCAAGTATCATAGCAAAACCTAGAAACAACAAGAGATTTGCAGGGCACAATTTAAAATGGAGTGTAAAGAATACAGGATTGGGTTTGCACAGAAAGATGTGTTGCACTCAAGTAGAACCTTACACGAAACTCTCAGGTGGCAGTGATCAATTCTTATTTCCATAGAGTTCTCCTAAATAGACTTGCATAATGCTGGATGCTTCTCTAGGTACTCAAACATCCATCTGTTCCTTGATTTCTGACCCGTGTCAGAAATCTGGCAGCTTTTCCATTGGGTGGTTGGATGAGCCTCCCTCCAATTCAAGATTTACTCACAAGGACTGAGCACAATAGTTCCTGCTACCCTCTCAAGTCTGTCGGTGAAACCAAAATTTTCCTCGTATCATTCCATGATTAAGTCAGTTTCATCTTTCTTCACTTGTAAGGATAACTTTTTAATTAGGGGCATAATACTGCCTTAGAGCAGTGATAGATAACCTTATAATGATCAAGGAAAGCATTAACATTTTTGACAAGGCTGAAAGCTATAAATAAGATAAGAGTCCCTCTCAATATTGAAATGGGTGTTAGGTAAATTTCATAAGTAAATAAGGCCAGATCATGAATACAGATAGTGGGATTTGGGAAAGTAGAGTTTATAAAGATAGTCTCCCTTCCTCCCTCCCTCTCATTGGTACGCCTGTTTTAGAAGCTGCAGTATAACTTTCTTATGTTTCTTAATTAAAGTAGTTTAAATACTAAAATTTAATCTAAAGGTCCCAAGAAGATGGAGGTTGCAAGTCACCCACCCCTATTTTAGGTATATGTTTTGTGAGAATGTATAGCCATGACAAACTTCATAACCTCTTTTTAGAAGGTAAGCATTGTAGAAGTATCTAGCTAAACTATTGTATTAAGAGATACTCTGTGAATTAATGGTTTAGCACAGGGGTATCAAACTGGTGGCCTGTGGGCTGGATGCATCACGCGCAGGCCATACCCATCCCAGCTCTGCAAAGGCAAAAAAGTCATGATATGTCACCATACATCACATGATGTGATCGAGTTTGACACCTGTGGTTTAGCACAATACATTAACTCAATCACTATTTAATCAACAAATTCTTGGCTATAGAGCTGTAAGCGGAGTGACTGAGTATATATGCAAATAGAATAAATACGTTTCATAAAATTATTCAGAGTATGCTGAAAAATGCAATGCATTTGAGGGCAAAACATGCTTTAGAAATATGTAGTATTAAGTTCTCTCAGATTTTATTATACTGTATATCAACCACAAAACCTTAGAAAGCTATCTTTAGTTCTTGGCTTTTTCAACCTGTGATCTTCTAGACCAGACATGTCATATGACGTCGCGCAATGTATCGGGTCAGTTTTGCCATTGCCCACAATGGGGTGGGCCTGGCTTCCAGATGATGCATCCAGCCCGCGGGCCGGCAGTTTGACATCCCTGTTCTAGTCATATTGAGATTGCCTTTCCTAGAAGTCTTGGAAGTTGTAGCCCCAACAATTCTTCACACCCCAGATTGAAGAAGATTGAAAATTCAATAGCATTCTGAAAGACAACTACTATAAACTCACAGATTTCTTCATGAAACACAACATGAACTATGAGCTGGAAAACCCCAATTTCAAACCTTGCTTCTGCTCTAAACTAATAGGGTTACCTTAGTTGCTAAATCTCAGTTTTCATGTGGAGCATATGGTATAGTACTGATTTACCTTTCCAGATCTATGTTTCATGCTCCTTATATAAAAGATAAGTAATACTAGTAATAAATGCATCAAAATGTATCCATGTATATTAAAGATAAGCAAATAGAGTAATGTAATAAACAAATCCTCAATTCTTCCATTAATGTTCATTTGCGGCCATTTCATTGTAAGATTTTTAACTGAGAATGATTTGTCTTCACGTTTTAACAGGTATTTGTATGCCCTTGGACAAAAAGTTTGGAAACGATGGAAAAAGCGCTACTTTGTTCTTGTGCAGGTTAGTGATTTTTCTTTCTTGTTTAATTTTAACATCATTTCAAAAGATGGTGTTAAAGCAATAAACTTATTATATATATGAGTTTATAAACTCATTATATATATATATATATATCCTTAATAGCTGTAAAAATCAATTTGCTGATTTGCTGATTTCAGCAAAACAGTTCCTGTGCACACAACTCTTTGTAGTAATCCCATTATTTATGGATTTAGTGTTCTATTAGAACTCATTTACAAAATCCTGAATTTCTTTCTAGGCTATATTCAAGAGAGCAAGTGTATAAATGCTCACTTCCAGTCAAGATTGTGCAGCACTTTGGATTCCAAAATGGTGCTTCAGAGTGTGTAAGAGTATAAATATAGCATTCACCGGCAGCTCATTAAACCAATTCTGTATTTTATGAATGCTACATTTGCAACTCTATAACTTCAGTGATAATCATACTGTATGTGATGTATATACATTTTAAAAGTTATCAATAGATCTAGTCAATGACAGATTCTCTCCTTTGAATCCATGCTGGAGTTTGGGAACTATATTATACCCAGTTTAAAAAAAAAAAAACAATCCCGACAGATCCAGATAGAGAATATAACTCAATGGCTCTTCACACTTCCAAACATTGGTAGTATGAATTCTCATTATTTTAGCTGTCTTTCTCATGAAGAATTTCTCATGGAGATCTGAGCACATAAGATCATAGGGTGCAGTGAGCACAAACATACTAGGTAAAATCTTGAATTTCCACAAAGGTAATGTGTTATGGTAATTTTAAAATGTATAGAGTAGTTTAAGATATGCAGGCATTTTTTTGGTACACACTGCAATAGCAAAGACGGAAAATAAAGTAAGGTTGTTTATATCAGCCCATCCCTATCACTCTCTTCTGATTGAAGAGACAATCATTCAGTGATTACAGCACTCTGTTGGGCTTCCTCAAGGTCCTTTCAGCTGACAAATCTATCAAACTTCAGAGGCATGATCTCAGAGGAAGCTAAAGCTACTTCCCAAAAAATCTGGAATATGTCACTGGGTCTTTTCCCAGTTGGAAGATGAATGGATACAAGAAACTTGTTATGGCAAGGTAATGGCAATGAGGGTTCATTTTTCAACTGGGTTTCTCCATATTCATGGATGCTGGCAGGCAAAAATATCCTTCATAATTTAATAGGCCTTCCCCAGAGATCTATCAGAATATGGTGGAGGGCTTTCATCAAATATTTTTGTCCAATCTCCACAACTGCTTTGTAAATTGAAAATTAACTTTTGCCCCTTCCTGCTCCCATAGACATAATGTATGTTTTTCAGCGAGGAATTCAGGAATGGTACCTATTTTTTTTGGCAGACTAAAATATATGTGACTAAAATATGAAAAGAACAATGTGAATATAATACACAAAAAGAGTACAGATACAATCTCATGCCTTTATCTAATATGCAGGAAACTGAGAACATTAAAATTCATTTGCAGTATTTGCGATCATTGGCCAAGCTAGGCTATACACAAATACTACTACCTACAGTTTTATGTCAGACACAGATTGATAGAATTATGTATAAATTAAATAGTACTCGTATAAGCATATTGTAACATAGTGTATGTGATGTTTTATTACAAGTCACTTTTGAATTCATATTGATATCTGTCCATGTATAATCTTAAACACCTGAGATTTCAGGTCTCTATTTTCTTCTTCAGTGATTTTCCTTTTGTTTTCTATTTTTTCAGAAAAGCTTAGACAAAGCTAACAGCAGTCTTATCTAGTTGAAAGAGATACTGTGTGTCTCCATTCCCCTGATTCCACTCACATAAGTGTGCACTAAGTTGCTGAGGTTGTTTCCTTCACTTGCACACTTCGGTTTTATGAATAGACCTAGTGTAGAATGCCTATAAAGAATAATATTGACAGATGGGCATTTTGCCATCCCTTTCATAATTCCTGCACAGTTGACACTGCAGTAGTTGTGTTAAATTTATATTTTATCTTTATGTTGAAGGGTTATTAAGTGGCAGATGAACTATGGGTGACATAATGAATAACCCCACCCAGCAACTTTAAAAAGCCATTTAAATCAGGTAGCATTGAGTTTGTCTACTTAACCTATTTGTCTGATTATGGTGATCACTTTGCACTTTTTGTAATCTTATACCTGACCACAATAATCAAAAACCTGGAGTCAAATGCAAATGGCATGTGTGTATTCAAAACTATTACTTTTCTCAGCAATGACACAGAATTGAAGGTCCAAATATTTTCTGGATACTTTTCCTGATTGTTTTTATTGGAGTTGTAAAGTTTAACCAGAGGCTTTATTGAGCACACCAGCATCTCATGTGTGGCCCTCAGAATTTCCCAAGTGGGTGAAGCCAAACATTTCTGTCTTATTTGCAGTGGTCAGTTCATTGATACAAAGCTATCTGTGTATCATGTTGCATGTGCACATTTTTCCATCTAGGGGGAAAAAATAGGGCCTGCTATCCACCAACCATTGCTGAAGTACAGCTCTTAGACAAATTGTGCGAAGTCAGATGTGACTTTCAAACTTTTGTGCACTCTAAGTTTTAAGGTAAATATATGTGTATTCGTGTCAGTTGGAAGGACATGCAGTGTTCAAGGTAAATGAACAAATGCCTTACATATACCTGGTTTAAAAAATGTATTGATGAAAATGTATAGAATAGTGGTTACATTTTCAATTTAGCCTTGTTTCTCAAGATTGATACTGGTGACAGATAAAAAGGTACTTTTACTTCTCAAATTACGACTTCACAATTATTGCACAAGGATCACTATAGACCTCTAGCATACAAATAGATTAGTGGTATTGTCCTGATATCTAAGTGTATTTTGTAAACCAATTTGTTTTGTTGTGAATTTCAAGTTGTTAATGTACAGTTGACATATTTGTTCTAAGCCACATGGCAGGTTATTTATAATTCCCATTGTTAACAGCTAGTTTATGTCTCATGTCCCACAGAACTAAGAGCTGAATGTCAATATAACATGATGTAGTGAAGTATAGCTAATTCAGGGCTTCTCTTTCTCTTTTGTTTCATCTAGGTTAGCCAATATACATTTGCTATGTGCAGCTACAGAGAGAAAAAATCAGAGCCTCAGGAGTTAATGCAACTTGAAGGATACACTGTGGATTATACAGCACCCCATCCAGGTATTCTGCAAAATGAGTTAAAATATCTGATTGCAGAGTAAATTAGAAAAGAGAGCTTGTTTTATCTTTTCATAAAATCCTATCAAGTAAGTAGGTAGATAGATAGAAAGAGAGAGAGAGAGAGAGAGAGAGAGAGAGAGACTATTTTAGGTCAGGTTACATTTTTATATCATTTTCTATCATATCAAAAACATCTCCATCTCATGGCAGATCTGAATTGCCAGGCTATATATTATTTTAATGCTATTAAAGGCATTGATATCATGAACTGATATTAATTGAAAAGCAATATTTTATTCAAAGTTGAGGATAAGGTTTTGATTCTGATCTTATAGTGCTCTTCCTCCTGAAGATATCAAATGCAAAGTAGTAAATGGTACTGCTATCAAGTAACCACTTTTGTATAATAGCCATTATATAAATTTTCCCTTTATGCTTTCTTTAGCAAAAACTCACTCAACCAGTTAATTAGTACAGTAAAGTGCTTAGGACAGAAAGTTTCAAGGGAAGTTGGTTAACTAGAGAAATGTATTTAAGTGGGAGCACAATCCATTGATATACATACAAGGATCAAAGTGAGGAGACAAAGTGAGAGACCCTTTTGAAGATGCTTCTGCTCAATATGCCATCATTTGGGTAGACAGGGCTAGACATTTTTTTGCATGTTTTCCAAGTTGTATAATATTACTCCCATTGAAATTGTCCTCCATGTTTTCTGGTTGCAACAGAGACATCAAGGCCTATCTCTTCAATTTAGCTTTTGAGTGATTTCAATGATTTTTAACATTTACATTTTAACTGTGCCTTTAATTATGTTTTTATTAATTTAGTCACTTTAAGTTCTCTTTTTAGACTGAAAGGTAGACTATAAATCCAGTTATTAGTTAAGGAGGAAGGGGAAAGAGAAAACTTAATTTCACGTCAGTTAACTTGACTGAATCCTGAGTTCTTCTAATTCTGCAGGCCTTCAAGGTGGTCAGATGTTCTTCAATGCTGTCAAAGAAGGCGACATAGTGATATTTGCCAGTGATGATGAACAAGATCGGATCCTTTGGGTCCAAGCAATGTACAGAGCTACTGGTCAATCTTACAAGCCAGTTCCTGTAGGTCAAGCACAGAAGATGAATCCAAAAGGAAGCAATACTCACACAGATTTATCACAGAGTAAGTTTACATTGTTCTTAAGTTATGAGATTTCAATTGTATAATTAATCAGCATTTAACTAGACTGTTCTTGAAAATGTATAGTATTAATAACCATTAAAAACCTGACGTAGCTCATTATTGCTGTTGTTACTTTTTAAAATATGTACCGTATATTCTGGCGTATAAGACGACTTTCTAAACACTTAAAATCTTCGCAAAAGTGGGGGGTCGTCTTATACGCCGGAAAAATATTACTCAGCAAGTTTTCTCTTCCCCCCCCCTCTCTCTCACTCAAAAAGAGTCCTAGGGTTATTATTAAAACCAGCCGATCAACTAAAGATATCTCTGAGAGTACGATAGGCATTATCTGGCTGTCGTGACGGTAAGATTTCCTGGAGGTTTAATCCCCATTCTATAATGCTACATTGCAAACCGTCTCCTCTCTTCTTCCCTCCCTTTTGCATCCCAATTCCTTGCCCACCCCTCCAGAACTGCGGATTGGTAGTGGCCATCCCCTGATTAATTCATTCAAAGGAAGTAGAAAGGGATGGCCCATGTAATGGGGAAGGGGGGAAAAGAATTGTAGGGTGGTTTTTTTATATAATGAAAACAAACCTAAGCATCTGCGTCCATTCGAGGCACTTCTCAGTGCTTCTTCATGCAAGCTTTTCAGCGTTTACCTCTCACTGCCGGTGAGAGTAGCTTGGGGGAGGCGGAGCTTATGGGTCTGGAAGGGGAGGGGTGTCAGCTAAATTCCTCTCGGAGTTAAGAAGCAGGAATGGAGTGGGGACAGAAAACAGCTACACAATCCTTTTGCCCGAGCTTATGCAAGCAGTTTCTCCCCCCCCCTGCCTAAATAAACTTGCATGGTGCATTTGTGGTGTTATTTATGACAGATCCTGGCTGGTCAATCTGGCTCCCATCTATAAGTACTGTAGTGCACTGAGTTTTAATAACAAATTAAAAGGAAAGCATTTACTCCCCCCTCCATTACCTGAAAAGGGGGCAACTTATCACATTTATGGAAATGCAAGTTTTCGAAGGGTGAATGCCTTTCTTACTTAGTTTATTAACTGCTTCCTTTCCTTCTTCCCTAAACATTCTGGCTGTCTCCAATTTCATTCTTGGTAGTGTTGCTTTAAAAAACTGCTGAGAAGTCCTTTTGCAGGCAGGGCAATTTTCATCAAGGTGTGTGTGCGATTGACAAGGCAGAGCCTTTGACAAACAGGCAGGCTTTCTGCTCACTCAGCTTGGAGAGGCTGTGGAGGATTCGCAGGGTGGAAGACTGAGAGGAGGAGATCCCTGTGTGCAGCCTGCTTGCTCCAAGCCAAAGCTTGCTACTGGGGGGAGGACAATGGAAGGGACCCAGGGAGTCACACGCATGCCTACATGTGCACGCACACACCCTGAGCTACTCATTTGGACTTACAGGTGGCCAATGAGAACTCAGAAACTGTGCTCCCTTTCCCCCTCCCTCATGGAATTAGCTTGTCCATTTTTTCCCTAGGGCCTATACAGGAGTAGGCAACCTTGGCTCTTTTATGACTCATGGACTTCAACTCCCAGAATTCCTGAGCCAGCATAGCTGGCTCAGGAATTCTGGAAGTTGAAGTCCATGAGTCATAAAAGAGCCAAGGTTGCCTACCCCTGGCCTATAAGATGACAGGAAGGGTTGGGCAGGCAGGGAGAGCTGACCCACCCAATCCAAGCAGGCTTTGTATACAACAACCAGCCAAGGTTCATCGCTTGCTGTGATTGGCTGGTTGTTGTATACTGGGTACATACAGTACAGCACCAGTATCTGTACCAGTTCATACAGTACAGCACCAATACATACAGTACAGTATACAAATGTCCAATAGTCAAGACCCCATCATGGCTCCACCAGCAAGAAGAAAGAAATATGAAGCCAGTTTCAAACTTAAAGTTGTAAACTTTGCCATGGAACATAATAACTGCGCTGCTGCAAGACAATATGGAGTAACAGAAAAGATGGTTCGGGACTGGAAAGCAAATGAAAAAGCATTAAAGAGTATGCCAAGGGGTAAGTGTGCATTAAGAAGAGGCACCCCACATTGGCCAGAACTTGAAAAACATGTAGCAGACATGGTGAATGAGCATCGCCAAAACGGTTATGTAGTGACACGAAATAAAATACGTTTGTTTGCACTTCAGTGGGCCAAATCTAACCCAGATCACAGCAACAGATTTAAGGCCACTGCATCCTGGTGTACTAGATTCTTGGAAAGGCATAATATGGTACTGAGGCAAAAGACGAAAATTGCACAAAAATTACCTGCAGATCTTGATAACAAAGCAATTAGTTTCCATCAATACATAATACAACAGCGCATTAAACATGGCTATGCATTAAGTAGTATTGGAAATATGGATGAAACTCCAATGAATTTTGATATGGTTGGAAATAAAACTGTCCATCAAAAAGGTGAAAAAACAATTTTAATTAAAACAACAGGACATGAGAAGTCCAGTTTTACAGTGGTACTAGCATGCACAGCTGATGGTGCCAAACTGAGACCAATGATTATTTTTAAAAGAAAAACAATGCCAAAACTCAAGTTCCCTGTTGGTTGTTTTGTACATGTGAATGAAAAAGGCTGGATGGATGAAGAAGGGGTAAAGCTATGGCTTGATAATGTATGGAGCAGGCGACCAGGTGGACTTATTCAAAAACGTAGTCTACTGGTGTGGGATATGTTCAGGGCTCATTTAACTCCCAGCACCAAGCAAAAGCTTGCAAGACTAAACACAGATGCGGCAGTTATTCCTGCAGGATTAACATCGTTAGTACAGCCACTGGATGTATGCCTAAACAAGCCATTTAAAGATCGCATTCGAGAACAGTGGAATGAATGGATGGTTAGTGGCGAAAAGTCATTCACAAAAGGAGGAAACATGCGTGCTCCACAATTGGATGTTTTGTGCAAGTTTGTCATAAAAGCCTGGAATGATATTGATGCAGAAACAATAATCAAGTCTTTCAAGAAGTGTGGCATATCAAATTCATTAGATGGTATGGAGGACGACTACTTGTGGCAAGATGAAGAGGAAGCCGAAGCTGAGACCACACCATCTGATACGGAATTCGATCCATACGATGACTGCCTTGCAAATGTATCACAAGATGTCATTGATATTTTTATGATATCAGATGATGAACAGGATGATTTTAAAGGCTTTTAAAGGGAAAGTATCATGCCAGCAAAACCTATAAAAATAGCTTGCAGTTATGATGGGCGTTGCTGACTCGCCAGGGACTTGCCCGGCACTTGCTCTCTCTATTGTTTGTTATCTTCCTCCTATCATCATCAGTTCCAGTTTGGTTGACAGCTTAGAAAACAAATAGCATGGCAGCTCCCATGGGTTTATTGTCTTATCCTTCCTTTCAGCTTTAGAGTGAATTAGGAAAAGTTTAATCACTTGCACTGTTTTATGTTTACATGTTTGATGACAAACAGCCTTATGTTTATAAGTGACAGTTTTCCTGCTAAGTACCTTTATGTCATAAGCATTTGAATTAAAATTACCATATTGAAATCAAATCTGATGTTTTTTAATTTTTATTTGGTGTGCGTTGAAAGAGGGGTAGTCTTATACGGCGAGTATAGCCCAAACTCTATATTTTAACTGGAAAAGTTGGGGGTCGTCTTATACGCCCAGTCGTCTTATATGCCGGAATATACGGTAATTGGTATCATTAAAATTCAATACAGATTCTCATGGAAACAGTTTTTAGGGATTATTTTTCTTTCAGGGTTTACTCCGATTTTATAACAAATACCTTCAATTGGGTATTCATGACTCAGTTGCATCATTATTTTGGTGAAATAATATTGAGCAAGAAGAGCGTAAGATTACATCGCTTCACGAATTCTCATTTGAGGACATTTTCCAATTCTCTTCCTTGCCAGGAATTTGAAGCTGTAAACTCGGGGAAGGGGAGGTAGTGGGGTAATTGACATCAAAGGATACTTTACTGCAATTAACCAGATGTGAAGTCTTGCCAGTAAAGTTGGATTCTAAAGACAGGGTGGAAAGTTGGACTCTAAAGACAAGATGGGAATGCTAATGTACTGTCTTCATTGTTGAAGACTGTCTCCAGCACATGCCTTTTGGGGGAAGGTTGGGAAGAAAATATTTCAGGTTGCATCAATATGCCAATTATGCCCAACTATAAATCTTGGCCACTGACCAAATTATTGATGCTGTCAAACTGCTGTCCAAAAGCCTAACACCATCTAAGTCTGCACAGGAAAGAAGAGTTAAGGCTTAATCCAGCAAGAATTACTTCTGATGATATTCCTCCATTGCACTTCCCTACCAGATTCAGTTCACAATTTTGGTGGCCCTTCAAACTTCTATTGCAAATAGGGCCTTCACTCAGATCCATCTAGTGTACCAATTGTGACTTTTCCTAGCTGGCATTAATTACTGTTACTCATGCCTTAGTTACCTCTTGACTGGATTATTGCAATAAGCTTCACATGGGACTGCCATTGAAACTGCAGCTGATCCAGAATACTAAAGTTCAAATACTGATGGATGTAACACCTTTATTCACAGAGCAGCACTAGTTGCCACTTGGCTTGTGGATGCTCCTAGTCCAGGGGTGTCAAACTCGCAACGTCACGTGACATGTCGTGACGTACCGCAACTTTTTTCCATTGCCAGCAGTGGGGTAGGTGCAGTTTTGGCATGACGCATCTGGCCCACGGGCCAGCAGTTTGACACCTATGTCCTAGCCTCTGAAATAGTACTCCACCTGATCTGCAACTGGCTCCTTCGGACTTTTAAAAGCTGGTTAAAACCTGGTTGTTCCATCAAGCAAGAAAAGTCAGTCTGCTATAATTGCCTCTTGGTCAGGAGAGTGGGCCAAGATACTACTGATGTTTTCAATTATTACTGCCAGTTTCATAGGCATTTCTAGTAGTTCTTTTATTGATTATATGATTTTATCAACTTTATGGCAATTGAAGTGGCTCATATGACTGTAAAGAAATCAACTCTACAAGCTGATAATATAATAGAAACAATGACTGACCACCCTTTTGGCTTAAAGAAATAGCCAGAGAGTAAGCATATAGTGCCATTTCAACCATCTTAGCTAACTGATTCGTATTTAATAATACCTCTTTCTATTGTAATTTGCAAATAACACATTTTTCCATATGTAACTATAGTATCCTTTTATGTTTTTGGCTCACTTTGTATTTAGTAATACTGTAACATTTATATGAGACAGTACTTCTGAAGGACTATGCCACCCACATTTGTGTTTATTGATTTCCTGATACAAATGATACCGATTTGAGGCAGCCTTAGGAATGGCATGCCTAGTTTCATTCTCCATAAAGAAATATTGGCTGCTTTCTCCTAAGGCTAGGAAGAGACATACATTCCTTTAAATATAAAATGTGACAGCAAACTATGTGGTCCTGTTTGGCAGGTATCAACCTAAGGGTTACTATCATTTTCCTTGTCGTCTTGCTGCATCCCATCTATGTCTAGTTGCTTGACAATAGCTACAGGATAATTTTCTGTTTTATCAAATTTCCTTTCCATCGTATTTCCTGCAACTGTCTCTTGATTGAACTTAGTACAGATGGGGGATCATCAAAATAGCCAGCCCTTGCTGGCTGTGCTAATGGCAGAAATGCAGCAAAAACAGTCAGCAAAAACAGCAAAATGCGGTTAAAACAGTCCTCGGTTTTAACAAAATATTCTAGTAACTATTTTTCTGTTTCTTTTGTGTTATATGAAGACAGCTAAGGAAAATAACAGTAACGTTTTATAAACCATTTTCCATCCCAATGTCCCAATTTACTTTCACAATTTTAACTGAACAATATCCCCTTAAAAAACCTATGTTTGGATAGGATTCTTTCTGCTCTTTTTGGGAATAGCAGACTGTATTTATCCAAATGAAGCTCAAGATCAATTATTACAGGGTAGTGCAGCAATCTGGCATCAATTTATGTTAATATAACTCTAGAGCTTATGCTACCAATAATTAAGGTTTTTTAATGGTATAGAACTATATAAAAAGTAAACTTGTTTTCAAAAAAAGTTAATGAACTTACATAAACTAATTTGCTTTTCTTCTTTTTAAGAAATAAAGAATGTTAATATGAAATATCAAGGCTTTGAATTATTTTGAAATATCTAGATCTAGTTTATATGCATGATAAGGAGAGAGAAAAAAATCACCATTGTCTTTCTTTTCCTTTTCTGTATCATCAGATGATTACAGTAAGCCATCAGTGTAACAATTTTCCCCATATCCTTTGCTAATTAGAAATGTTTTACATATATGAAATTAATAGCAAACTGCCATATATGCTACATCGCAATTCAGTTAAAAGATGTCAGTCTACTTAAGACTAATTCAAATCGCTTTCTACATCAGGAGATTCTTAGATCATGTAGTTATATCTAAAATTAATATTTTTATGCTTGGTAATTAAATACAGTCATTTAATTACATACATGAATATATCTTAGGACTTGAGGAGTGGGGGAAGTATTGTTCCAAAAACTCTGTAAAAATTTACTCCTGTTATCTGTAGATGATAATCTCATAGCGTAACCTATCAATGTATTATCACACAGTTTATTTACTATATGTACCTTGTTAAATCTGTCACATGAATGTGACTCTTGCTTTGACAATACAGAGCCAAGTGATATGAATTTGTTTCTGCATCTTTTCAGGATATGATGCTGTAGATCCTTCAGTTTGAATTAAATAATTCTTCCATCTGCAAATGCATCTGAAAGTTGGACTTGACATGGATCAATATGATCTGGGGCTAAATTTCTAAATGTGACTGATTATGTTAGCATCATGCCCACAGATCAATATGGAGTCTTATTATGAACCTAACTTTAGAATTGGATTTAATCAATAAACTTTTGTCTCCTTTTTTATAGAAATTTTAGGTTTGTAGCACAGTTTTCAAGAATATATTGAGAATACATCTTTTCTGGTAACAAACATTAAAAAACCTCTATATTTGAAATTAAAAGAACAAAGAAGAGCAAAGACCTTATTGTAAGGGTCGAATCAATGTTTTAGTTGATAGTGGCCTGTTCACTTCCAATATTGTGTACAAAATCAAAGTGAGCTAATGTGCTAATGCATAACTAGTCCTTTTGGCAATGGTAAGGCTTTTTCTGTCCATATTTTATAGCAACTTGCATTGAGGATTTTGACAAAACATACCATTAACGAAAGAATCACTAGATTGTGTCTTTTGATAAACCCGCGGGGTTCAAAGGCGTTGAAAGATGCAATCTCTGAACAACAATAAATTCAGATATTTGATTGAGGTGCCATTTAAAATGGTATGTTATATATAATTTACACAAAGAAATATTGTTTCCAGTTTTTTTACTCTTGGTTCTGGAAGGCTGAAAGAGCTCTTTGCCATTACTACTTTATATTTGTTTCTTTTAAAACTGCATATAAAAAGCAAAAGACTGGAAATGACCCTGTGTGGGGCTATGTGTTCATTTCTGCTCTAGTTTGATGTTTAAGAAATGGGCTTCCAGCTATCTTCCATTGCTATTTTCCTCTGAGATAAGTGTCTTCATGCCTGTAAGCAAAGATACGTTGTTTTAAATAAATCAAATCTTCTGTATTGTTAGTATCTTGTTAAAACAGGCATCTCGTAGTTAGTATTGGCAAAACGGTTGATATTAAACTTTCTAAAATTTTAGAACATCATTACAGAGAAAGCTTTGCAGTGGGCAATATATGAAAACAGTATTGAAAGTATTTATGTGTGAATATTTTGTTATTTATATGTGAGAATTTTAAAGCATATAAATATATAAGAATATGTGTATCGCTTTATCTTATTTGTGTGTGTGTGTGTGTGTTACTTTTGCTCTGTTTGTCCATGAATTCTTATATCATTGTCACTTGCTTAGATTCTACTTGTGGCAGTATTTTTAGAGGAAGAACTGGTGAGATTTGGAAAAGAAGACAGGGTCTAATTAAAGCTCCTCTCCATATAATTTTAAGCTCTTGTTAAAGTGAAACAATCTATATCAAAGTATTATTTTTACTTTTCTACACGCAGATGCAGATCATGCACAGAAGCATGACATGGATGAGTTTATTTCTGCTAATCCTTGCACATTTGACCATGCTGCACTCTTTAGAGTACTACAGAGACAGACCTTGGATCACCGACTGAATGATTCCTATTCTTGTTTGGTGAGTAAAAGGGCTGGAATAAAAGAAGTGACGGAAAAGAAAAACTGAGAAATAGAAAGACGGCAAACTGGTCTTTTCTTCTAGACGCATTTAATAACTATGCGTGAGGTTAGTATAAAGCATTTCAATCGATTGCCTTCAAATTTGAAAATTATACATTTGCAGCCTACTGCTGTGCCACTCAATAGAAAAGAGAAGAGATTCAAACTGTCTCTGAACCATGGTTTATCAGCCCCTCTTGGGAGGGCTGAATAAAAGCAGAAGGCTTTAATAAATATAGAACCCTCTGTGGTGGGATTTGCTAACACCTGTACAGGCATTTTAAGGTACAAATCCAGCTTGCCAGATGTCAAGCATTATGTCATCTATCTGGTAATTCTCTCCTCCTTTATGGACTGAGAAGAGAAAAGAAATGAAAAGAACAGAATCAAAACCATTGGGGGGGGGAGATTTATTGCACTTGTATTAGCTGAGTCAAGGTTAGTTTCCTAAGCTTAAATCCTGAATGCATTACTTACCACTCTAGAGGTAAACTGTAATTTCTTTCCTTTATTTCTTTCTTTTTCACTTTCAAATGAGCACATAGAACATTTAAATAGTGATATTGCAATCATGAAGGTGGGTAATTGAGAAGAATATGAGGGAAAAAATGTAAAAGATGATGTGCAATTCCTCACATTAGTCTTCGGTTTGGCTGCTGATTCCTTTTGTTTATAGCTGTAACATATTTTATTACCATCACCAGCCAATAGAACAAAAGATAAGATCATATCCTAGTATAAGTTTTTATATATCAAAATAATAAAATAAGAATTGTATAACAAAAATAATAGCTTTCACGGCAAAAGCAGAAACTGGTATCTTGAAAAACATAATTTGCTGTGAGGTCTGACCCATTAATTTTCTGCTTTAGCCATGCCATATTCTTATATATATATAAAGTATATATATGATATGATATGATCTTTTATATATATATATATATATAATTCTATTTTAATTTATAAATTACTAATCACAAAAAGATAAGGGCAAAGTTTATAAAACAACAAACGTAGGTTTGCTGTTCAGTAAATGCAGAGTTTTAAAGAAAAGTAGCTTTATTATATATGTGCTCGATGAGACTTGGTATTTTTAAAATATTTAAAGATGAACTTGTATGTGTAGAATATTGTCCATTCCATTATGGGTTGAGTAATTAGACAGACAGACAGACAGACAACCATATTCTGTTTATCCTTTCCCATGATGCACTAAATGTGAAGTATGGTGGTGTATACTAAGGTGAGTGGGATAGGCTTATTTGCTGCAGCAGAAAAGAACTAGGGAAATGTAGACTATTGGAGACTGCTTTATGTTGATTAAAACCATCATTTTACCTAATTTATTGTATACCTATTTACTGTAACTCCCCAATCTTTCAGATAGATATCTTTTTCAATGCTACTTCAGATAATAAGGTTGCTCTGGCATAGTAACGCTTATGCTTTGCCATTGATTGTAGCTCTTCTCTTTATTAGTAATATTTGAAGCTAAGAATGGTGTGGGCGTGGAGAAGGTTATTTTTGTGACACACACACACCCTCCATCATTTTTTCATCAGTATAGATAGTTTGAAATTTGGCACCCATGGAAACCTGGAGAGACATCAACTAATTTATAGTAGAAATTCTTCTCTAACATGCATTTGGAAAGAATATTTTAATTTCCTTCTTTTCAATCTGCATATACTGAAAATAACTTTAAAAAAAGAGTCTCTTGCATCTTGGTAAATTGATTGAAAATAGCTACATGCATTATTTCTTTACACAAGAAAAGAAGCCTAATGTGGAAAAACTAGATTTAAAACAAACTGATTAAAATCATAAGCTTTGCTGAAGTATCATTCCTCAATTCCCTGATAAGGAGTAGAAAACTTGTAAGCAACTATAAAACAGTACACGATTATAATAATTTTATCCAATTAAAAACTCAATTTTTTGTTATGCCAGCAGAGCTACCAATTTTTTTTGGGGGGGGGATAAATGAAGACTCATATGACAAAATGGACATTATAATGATAGAGAATGATTCAGGTGTAGCATTTCCTACATTCAGTCTCAAGCACTTTCAGAGAGAAATGAGAAAGTGTCTCTAAAACCCTAGGCTGCCAATCAAAGCTAGTAATTCTAATTCTAAATTCTAAAAGATAATCAAACAACAAATCAGCGAACACCTACAGGCAAACAATGTTATTACTAAAAGCCAACACAGGTTTGTCAAAAATAGATCATGCCAGACAAATCTTATTGCATTCTTTGACCAAGTGACAAAATTAGTGGACCAGAGGAATGCTGTGGATATAATTTACTTGGACTTCAGTAAGGCATTTGACAAAGTAGACCACAACCTACTACTTGATCAGATAGAAAAATGTGGGTTGGACAGCATCACCACCTGATGGATCCGTAGCTGGCTGATCGGCTGTCCTCAGTGTGTGGTCCTCAACAGAACCACATCTACATGGAGGGAAGTGTGTAGTGGGGTGCCCCAGGGCTCTGTTCTGGGCCCAGTGCTCTTCAACATCTTCATCAACGATTTGGACGAGGGGATAGATAGGGAACTCATCAAATTTGCAGACGACACCAAGCTGGCAGGAATAGCCAACACTCCAGAAGACAGGCTTAGGATACAGGAAGATCTGGACAGATTTGAACACTGGGCGCTATCTAACAAAATGAAATTCAGTGGTGAAAAAAGTAAGGTTCTACATTTAGGCAAGAAAAAACAAATGTACAGATATAGTATAGGGGGTACCTTGCTCAATAGTAGTAACTGTGAGAGGAATCTCGGAGTCCTAGTGGACAATCATTTAAATATGAGCCAGCAGTGTGCTGCAGCTGCCAAAAAAGCCAACACAGTGCTAGGCTGCATTAACAGAGGGATAGAATCAAGATCACGTGAAGTATTAATACCACTTTACAATGCCTTGGTAAGGCCACACTTGGAATACTGCATCCAGTTTTGGTCATCACGATGTAAAAAAGATGTTGAGACTCTAGAAAGAGTACAGAGAAGAGCAACAAAGATGATTAGGGGACTGGAGGCTAAAACATATAAGGAACAGTTGCTGGAATTGGGTATGTCTAGTTTAATGAAGAGAAGGATGAGGGGGGACATGATAGCAGTTTTTCAATATCTCAGGGACCGCCACAAAGAAGAGGGAGTCAAGCTATTTTCCAAAGCACCTGAAGGCAGGACAAGAAGCAACAGATGGAAACTAACCAAAGAGAGAAGCAACCTAGAACTAAGGAGAAACTTCCCGACAGTTAGAACAATTAACCAGTGGAACAACCTGCCTCCAGAAGCGGTGAATGCTCCAACACTGGAAGTTTTTAAGAAGAAACTGGACAGCCATTTGTCCAAAATAGTATAGGGTTACCTGCCTGAGCAGGGATTTGGACTTGATGACCTCCAAGGTCCCTCCCAACTACATTATGATGATGATGATGATGATGATGATGATGATGATGATGATGATGGATCATCGCACAGTCAGCCAGATGTTCAGACTGGATTTGGCATTTTGTCTACCTATCGAGTCCTTACCCAGGACCTGGGATAGGCAGATGTGGATGTTTGATGGTATTACAGACATCGTCGCAGGATGGAAGCAGTTCCTAGTAAGGCTGCCTTTTGCAATTGACTAATAGCGAATTTGTCAAGCCAATGATGTTCAAGTGGTGCTCCAGTTGTTTTGGGATTGCACCCAAGGAGCCTATCACTATTGGTACTACCCTTGCTTGCTTTTGCCACGGTCTTTCTATTTCTATTTGTAGGTCTTTGTATTTTGTTATCTTCTCCAGTTCTTTCTCTTCTATTCTGCTGTCTCCAGGCACTGCCACGTCCACTATCCAGACTTTTTTGTCTTTCTTATTGACAATTGTTAAGTCTGGGGTGTTATGTTGCAGATGCTTATCTGCTTGAATTCTGAAGTCCCAGAGCAATTTAATTTTATCATTTTCTATGACTTTCTCTATTTTATGATCCCACCAGTTTTTGCTTACAGGCAAATGATATTTTTTGCAGATCTTCCAATGCACCATTGTTGCTACTTTGTCATGCCGCTGCTTGTAGTCAGTCTGTGCAATCTTCTTGCAACAGCTTACCAGTGGTCCACTGTTTCTTCAGCTTCTTTGCATAGGCGGCACTTACTGTCTGTTGCTGTCTTCTCAATTTTGACTTTATATGCATTTGTCCTTAAGGCTTGGTCTTGTGCAGCCAGAATTAGTCCCTCCATCTCTTTCTTCAATTTTCCTGCTCTTAGCCATTGCCAGGTCTTATTATTATCTGCTTTCCCAGCTATTTTTTTAATGTATTGGCCATGTAGTGCTTTGTCTTCCCATGCCTCTATTCTGTTCTTCATTTGGTCTTTCTTGTAGGCCAGTTTGATCTCTCTAGTAGTCAGTAAGCCTTCTTGATATACTAATTTCAGTGCATCTTCATCATTGTTCTTCAGATATTCTTCCAAAGCCATTTTTTCTTCTTCAACCATCTGATGTACTTGTAGCATTCCACGCCCACCTATTTGCCTTGGTAGATAAAGTCTGTCAATGTCACTGCGTGGATGAAGGGCATGATTCATTGTCATTATTTTTCTGGTCTTCCTATCCATTGCTTTTAGTTCTGCTTGAGTCCAGTCCACTATTCCAGCTGTGTACCTAATGACTGGAATTGCCCAGGTGTTGATTGCCTTTATGGTATTTCCTCCATTGAGTTTGGACTTTAAGATCTTCTTCACTCTCTTGATGTATTCACCTCTAATCTTTTTCTTGACTTCAGTGTGCTTGATGTTGTCAGCTTGAAGGATACCCAAGTATTTGTAGTAATCTTCCTCATCCAGACTCTTAATGTTATTTTCGTGGGGCATCTTGATTCCTTCAGTTTTCACTACTTTTCCTTGTTTGATAGTAAGTGTGGCACATTTGTCCAAGCCAAACTCCATAACAATATCTTGGCTA